TAACCCTTCCCATAGTTAGAAATATGATAACATCGCTGCTCCTCAATTGCCGAATTTTGCAATGTGAATGACGATGTCCTCACACAAACTGCCGCATCAGTTGGGTAATCTTTTGTCTTTATACTCAATAAATGCCAGAAAAGGTTAGTGCAGTGGGGCAATACCATTTTTGTCTATGACGATGTTGTGGTGCCCCCTGCACTTTTTCCTGTCCTGCCTTTTTCTCTCCTGCATCATGTGTGGATGCCCATGCATGTGCACAAACATGCCAGACACTACATTCACGTACTTAGATGTCTTACTATGTTATGTCAAAAGATGCATATTTAAATTTCAATTAGTTTATTTGTTATGATGTTTCATTTGAACAAACCTTATATAAAACTTTCAACCAGTTTATTTGTTATGATGTTTCATTTGAACAAACCTTATAAAACATGGATATACTAAATATCACAAAATAAATTCTTTGGATTCATTACATTTGTATTATATAAGGAACTCAGCATTACATACAATGGCTTAACAGATATCTTCACAAGGTTAACAATAGTTTTACTTTAAAAATTACAAAAGACACAATTTTTTATTATAAAATCCTGGCTGAGTACTTCTTGTGTTAGCAAGCATTACACTTCCACAAAACTTCTCATTTTTGTGCTTGTCTCAGTATTCATTTATGGTAAGTGATATTTTTATTGACAATTCCCAAATTCCATATTTTCTGATTTACAATTATAAACAAGATGCTTGTTCTTTTGTTACTTGTCTACATCTTTATAGGAGACCACATTTCATGAAATTTTACAAGCAGGTCCAATAATTGACTAATTGTTAAGCATTTTAGTAGCATTAGAATGAACTTCTAAGATAATTCTACAGCCTTGCCACTAATTACAATCTCTATAGTTCCTAAATTCTAAAAGTTTTTCAATACAATGTGAGTGCACTAGCCTTAGATAATATTTGTGTATTAAAGTAACTCTCCTTTCTGACATAAGGTTTCTGTGGTAAATGATTGATTTTAATTTAATAATCAAAGTTAAACGATGGAGAAATTTTGAGGCCACATACTAAAAGAAATAGTAACTCAAAACATCTTAATACAAAAATCTGCAGTTATTTAATAAATACCTCAACAAAGAATCCTTTAATGGTGAAATGGATAACACTGCTGAACATCAACATCTGAGTTTAGAGTCCTTAACAAAAACAGACACACCAGGTATGCTTTGAAATAATTTAATCCCCAACCAATTAGCAAAAATTTAATTTCATAATGAATGTCCACACTTTGGAAACACAGAGATTTTGTCCTATTTCACTGGCTTCCTAAAGCCATTCAGTTGTTTGTACTTCATATCCCAAAGTGTGCTGTGAAACAAGATGACAAAACAGATCATACCACAAAACCAATGACAAAGGGGTTTGAAGAACTTGAAAGTGAGTTTGAATGCATACATTTTTCCCGATTTCATCAATAGTCAGCCTCTCCTTCACCATCACGAAGTGAAACAGCAACAATAACTTTCTAAGATGAAAAGTTAAAATTATCTTAAGGCTTAAATAAGACTTGCAGTGATCATTTCCAAGATTATTCACTGCAAGACTGATTTTTAAAGCAGGGCTACACTATAGTTGTTAAAGATTGATTTACAGCACAGCTGTTTCAGTTTCATTGTCCACCTCTAGTTATATATGGGCTATTTGGAAAATACATTTCAGAGTATAGTCATTCCTGCACTTAACAGATGGTGCTAATTTGCCTATGTAATATCATATCTTCAATAACTAAAAAATGAAACAAAACAGAAAAGTTCATATGGTAAAATACTAACTCATGTAAATGCTAATAATGCACTAAAGATGTTTAAGATTACAGAAGGTTTCAATGACTGTAAAATTCATTCCATAATTTGCTTTTTGAATGCAAGGACAATGTGAAATGAAATTTGTGAGGTGTACAATGATACAGCTATGGAGTGAGGGAATTATTAGATGGGTTCGACTGCCAATGCAGGCAGAACGAAAGTAGATGATGAAGCAAGAAGTAGCCAGTCATCTGCTGTGAATGATGAGCTGGTTCAAGTTAATGGAAAAATCTGTGGAAATAAACATTTCACAATTGCTGGTATTTCCTGAAGTTTTCTGTACCCTTCTGAATGAAATTATTATGGAATGCTTGGTTTACCAAAAAGTGCAATCATGGTGAGCACCAAAAATGCTTACAGAGGTCCGTAAAGATAAACATTTTGCTGCTGCTTTGACCTTTTTGGGTCGATATAACTATAGAACTGCACTGTCACTAGTGATGAGACTTGGATTTCCCATGTCACCTACAATCTTCTGGGACAGAAAAAATATCATGTTGGTGGATTTCACACCAAACCATCAGTGTCACTGCTTAAGGTGCAACACAGAAAAACATGGAAAGAATCCAAACAAGAGAAGTGGTTTGCTTAGTGATGGCATAGCTGCCAATCTTAAAATCCTAAAAAACTGGAAGAAATTGGGAGTTTTTCACATTGCACAGCGATACCATATCAAAAGAACTCGAACTTACTTGAATTCACTTTATAATGCATGGCTCAGGCTAGTGAACTATTTGTGATTCAGTTCTTATGTAAAATATATTAGCATTTAATTAGATACTCTGATTTTTTTTATTTGGCTATTTTTTAAATTTTCTTACTCTTTACATATTGAGGAAATTTTTAGCAGGGAAGAAAAGCTTTTATTTCTAAAAGTACTTTTAAATATTCTGAAAATGAAATTAATAATATTTGCATGGATAAGCTTAGTAATGTACCCTATATTGCAGTAAACAAAATTAAATACAATTATTAACTGATCAAACATTGTTTAAATTTTCATATAAAAATCCACAAATGTCTACAACAGATTAAGACAACTCAGATCAAACGACATTTAATAAGAAACATTTCTTAAGTTCAATAAAATATAGTAAGGAACAAATATAATTCAGATGAAAAAATTTAACAAAAAACTTTTCTGAAAATTACTAAAATGATGACGATTTCAGGTGACATTCCATTCATATAACTCAACATCTCATCAAGCCCTTCAGTTGGGAACAAATGATTCCTCCACCATATAGCTCTGACCTGGCACTAAGTAACTCTTACATATTCTTGCACTTGAATGGCCATCATTTTGATGACAATGAAGAAATGAAAGGTACCATGACATTTTGGCTACCCTCATAGGTGGCCATCTTCTATGACGCTGGAGTACAAAACTTTGTTTCTTGATAAGATAAATGCCTTTATGTGCCAGGTGACTATGTCAAAAAATAGTAGTGTAATATTTGTAAATTGTTATTAAATATGCATCTTTGTCCACATCTGCCTCCATTTCCTTCTACAATGAAATTTCCAAACAACCCTCACATAAGCCTAGCACTTTCAATTTCTTCTTTTATTTGTAAAAATGCTTTAGCCTTCCTCGTGGGTTTTCTTAAAAAAATGCCAGATTTAAAATTAAAAAAATATTTAGTTGTTTTTAAAATTACACAGTAATCAACTTTCAAAAACCATGTGAATAAGAATGCATTCTTCAAAAGGCATATAATCCATGCAATAAAATTTCTAATACATGTGGGCTTGAAAATCATATACAGTCAAAAGTCGTTAATTCGGACACCCATAATCCGGAATGATCTATAATCCGGACCTCAAAGCTACAAACTTTCTGCGCATGCGTCGCTTTCACGCATGCGCGTAAGACCTTTACCGCTGCGAATTTGCGTGTGCGCGTGCGCAAAATACGTTTACGAATGCGCGTTTAATGTATAACGGACGGGATAAGCTAAGCTAAAATTATCTAATTATCTATTTCAGTTAATGTTGCAGATTGCATTGTTCCTTAATCTTCGAATTGGATCCAGATTATTATTTTTTGCAGACTGTTAGAGCAATTTTATAAAAGTAAGCTTGAACTTTCGATTATGTCAAATAGAATTTCCGATATATATTTACTAATATGTAAAGGATATACAAAGCGAAAGTATCTTTCGGAGTCCATTAAACAAAAAGTAGAATTGCTGCAAAAAATGGATAAAGGCATATCCTTTGTTTATGTAAACTTTAACGTTTGTTTATCTAAACATTGTTTATCTTTAACACCGGGCGGCGTGCAATGAATTGGAAGTTGATCTGTCAGCACTATCCTTATCTTAAGGCAGATGTTTTTATTTTATTTGGCTTATAATTGCTTACTAAATGTAGTATTTCATCTCGATGTGTCTTTGATATGATTGAAATCAAATGCCTCCTCATTATAATTCGCTTCGGATAGCGAAGAAAGTGATAGAGGTTATTGAAAACGAAAAAGTTTCGATTGACAAATTAGTCGGTATTCTTGACACAGCAATTATAGGACTTGAACAGCGGAACTTTGTAACTGAACACGAAATTATGTCTGTTTATAGAATTAAAGAGAATGTATTATCACATAAAAAACGAAGCAACTTAAACAACTTACATTGAAAGAAATGTTTAATAAAGTAAACAAATAAATATTAAGCTTTTTTTTTTTTGTAAATTTTGATACCCTTTAGATCATAATTGTTCTTAATTTCGTAAATTACGGTTTCATATTTTTAATTTTATAATTTCTGCATGCCATTTTACCAGATTTAAACTGATGATCTATAATCCGGAAAAATCGATAATCCGGAATCGCTGAAGTCCCGACGAGTCCGGATTAACGACTTTTGACTGTATATGTCTTAGGGAATTAAATTACATTCATGTTGCATACAAGTGAAAATCACAAAATTGCCACCCTTTTATGAAAATATACCAGATAGTGCTTTTACTAGATCTTAGAAATACAGAAAAGGAAACTTTGCATTAAAATTTCTAAATTAAAACCGATGTCATTAAATTACTTTAATTATTTTGAAATAAGCAAAATAATGTATCTGTTACACTGTTTTTTAGTCCAAGTATTGTGCTGGCACATAAAAAACACATATCTGGAAAATAGTAAAAACTGTTTTATACATTTACCAAAATTATACAAAAACTGCAATATGGACAAAAGTTCAGAGCAGTTAGCTCATATGGCATATAACATCGTAGGCTAATCAATGATTTTCAGTATGTATTCATAACCAACTTGAATCAAAAATTTGAAACTTGGATTATCACTCAAATTACTTAGTTCAGGAGACTGCAATAAACCATCAATTGCTGGAATGAAGTCATGCATTTCTGCACCTGAAATGGAACATATATAAGAGGAGGAAAAGCATAAAATTGATAAATTAGATAAAATTATAATGTATGGGTGTTATCAAAACCTCTTAATATTTCATGTTGTCCCAAATCACAGAAATGAACTGAAATACTCATCAAAATTTTGCCTCTTGAAACTATACAACTCACAAAGCACTGCTGCACATGCATCATGTGTAGCAAATTGGGTGTAACAGTAACAACATCTAAACAGTGAAACCTCAGATCATGAACATCTCATTTCACACACAAATCATCGGAACAAAAAATGTCTCAGATGACAAATGGTGTCTCGAGTTATAAACACTGAAGTCTAATTTTTAAAGTTATCTTTGAGGTAAGCTATGCAACAGATCTAACACTCAGGTCTTCTGTAAACTATCATTTCAGTATTTTCCAACATTGAGCTCTCATTAATGAAGCTTGACTGCGAATGACTTAAGGATCATAAATTAGCATGGAGAAACTTATAACCAAAATGAATTGCAGGCTGAGACTTTGAGCATTTTAATACTTAGGACTTTCTTTTTTTATACAGTACAAAGTCTTTAATCCGGATGTCCATAATCTAGAATGATCTATAATCCGGACCTCAAAGCTACAAACTTTCTGCGCATGCGTAAACGCATGAGCATAATACCTTTACAGATGCACATAATACATTTACGCATGCGCGTTTAATGTATAACGGACGGTATAAGCTAGGCTAAAATTATCTAATTATCTATTTCAGTTAATGTTGCAGATTGCGTTGTTCCTTAATCTTCTAATTGGATCTGGCTTACTATTTTTTGCAGACTGTTAAGAGCAAGTTTTATGAAATATGTAGAGCTTGAACTTTCGCTTATGTCAAAAAGAGTTTCCTATTCTGGAGCTGGCAAAGGATCTACAAAGCGAAAGCATGTTTGCGATGTCCATCAAACAAAAAGTGGAAATTGGCTGCAAAAAATGGATAAAGGACATGAAGAAAGTGAAAGAGAGGTTTAGTGAAAACGAAAAAATTTCGATTGACAAAGTTAGTCGGTATTCTCGGCACAGCAATTACAGGACTTGAACAGCGGAACTTTGTAAACTGAACAAGAAATTATGTCTGTTTATAGAAAGTATTAGCACATAAAACGAAACAACTTAATTGAAAGAAATGTTTAATAAAATAAACAAATAAATATAAGTTTTTTTTTTTTTTTTTTTTTTTTTTTTTTGTAAATTTTGATACCTTTAGATTATAATTGCTCTTTATTTCATAAATTACAGTTTCATACTTTTAATTTTATAATTTCTGCATGCCATCTTACCAGATTTAAATTGATGATCTATAATCCGGAAAAACCCCTAATCCGGAATCGCCAAAGTCCCAATGAGTCCGGATTAAAGATTTTGTACTGTTTTATGTTTTTTTCGTTATTTTGTTAGAAATTTTTTCGTAAGTGGAGGACAAAATTATTTTAATTCTAGTTCTTTGATCTGTGAAATTTGTGCAAAATGAGACATAACTCCAAATTTTTATGTAACAAGATCATGCTGATAAAGAAATAGCAAACTACAGTATAAGCATTTTCCTTGACACTGCATGTCTCACTTTATGAACATTTTAAAACATAGGCAACAACAAATCACACTGAAAAATTTCGAATCAAACAAAGGCCCAGTCAATTTCTAGAACATTCATTGCACTTAGAGACAAAAGAATACATGGCATCTTTTACAGAGAGGAATTTTACAACCAAACAGTAGCATCTTTCTCATCATTTCCACTTATGCTATCCATTCTCCATCATACAGGTACAATAAAATCAGGGGCGTAGCTACAGTTTCCAGCACCCGGGGACAACTGAAGAATTTGCGCCCTTTTCTGTGTACCAAGAATGGAAAACATTTCATTAAAAAATTTCGTAGCATCAATTTGGCTCAACTTGGATGCTGCGCCCGGGGACAGGTGTCCCCCCTTGCTATGCTACTGAATAAAATTAAACTGGATTTAATACTGCGTTTACCTTTTTTGTCTTATATTTACCAATTTTCCTTATTTGAGTTTTAACTTGGGCTTGCTTATTTAAATATATAATTTATTATTGCTTATTTAAATATATAATTTATTATTCCTTATTTAAATAGTATTAAAATATTATTTTAGTACTATAAGCAATTATGTGTGGTCCAGGAATGAATTAATCCGTTTTGCATTAATTTCTATGGGGAATATTTTTTCGTTTGATGAAATGCCTTCAAGAATAAATGAAATCCATGAACTGATGCTTCAATGAGAAAAGAAAGGAGGGGGAAAAATTGGATGTTTTAAATACTTCCATTGTGTGTTTATAACATATGCCACTTTTCCTTTGTGCAAAAAGCTTCAGTATGGCTTATTGAAAAAAATGATAAGCCATTCAAATAAAATTTGTTGAGTTTGACACAAAAAGAACTGTGACTTATATAAATTATTCTTCTGAGAAACTGGTGCTTGAGAAAAATCAAGCCACATTAATATGAATATGAAACTGGTGGGTGCAGAAATGGTGAAATGACCAATGAGAACAATTGCACCAACATTGTCACACTACTCTTCTGTAATCTAAACCCAGATTGAAATTGTTTTGGGGAGGAGGTTAAATTTTTTTTTTTTTTTTTCAATGTCATTGTGTTTCTAAGGATTTTATGAATATGAATGTTAAATAGCATATCATAAAAATTTTATAGTGACTGTGATGGTTAATTAGCAGATAGGTTATCATAAACAATCGCGCCAGATGTGTTTACCTTGCTATTATAAAACAGTCATACTGCTGGCTTGTAATAAATGCATAAATCTTTGTATCTGTAAATATAGTTGTTATGTCGTGGAGCAAAAAACACTTTCACTTTACACCTGACTGCCACTGGCTCCGACATAGCAATGTGAATACTCTACATCTAAAATTTTAAACACCATTCCAGAATTTTAAATGTTTATTTAATAGAATTCTATTCATATATTTGCAAGTTATACACTATAAACACAATAATAAAATTTGAACTTATCTGCACCAGTGTGAATAAGCCTGGCATAATATTCTGAACTCGACGCAACTTTAGGAGGAAAAATACCGCAAATTCAAACACATGGTTTCATCCTTTCCGATGCAGCTAATTTTCTAAATATATTTTACTAATATCCGCAGCGGGACAGCGGATTCCATTTCATTCACCCAAAACTCAAATGTTATAATGCAACAGTATCGCAAAAGACGCAAAAAACATTGACTCAAAATCAAAATTAAAAATCTATAGAATATCATCTGCTGTAGCCATTCCAGCATTGCCAAGTTTTTCTTCCTGCAGCTGTTGCCAGACTTATCCTCGCTGTATGTGAGAGATACAACATCCTCCCACCCTGATTTTCTCAAAATCAGACATTGCACAAAATTTTCTAACATTACGAATAAAACAAAAACAGTACTATGTATTAGTTTAGAAAACACATAAAAGAAACTCGGTTAACATACAATATATATGACAGATCATACTAAAATGAGATCAATAAAGAATAACTTCTAATTAAAGTCATTGCTAAAGAAAAAGAGGATATAAGTCCAAAACGTCTATATTGTACATTATGTCTAAGAGCATGTCCTTGGTTTTAAGAGTCTACCGTATCTAGATCTGTTTTCAGTTGCCAGAGTTAGCACAGGATCACTGGTAGTTGAAACTTCTAGTGGATACAGTTTTTTGATTGGTCTTACCAAATATCCACTGCTTGTTTTTACCTGTACCACTCTGGTAGCCCCATCTCTACTACTGAATATTTTTACAATTTTGCCCATTGGCCACATTACACGTTTTTTATTGTCTAGTTCTATGAGGACTACGTCCCCCACCTTTAGGTTTTGACATGAAGCGCTTGCCTTCTGCACCAGTTGAGCCAGATATTCCTTGCGGAAGCGACTTCTCAGTTCTTGTCTCAACGTATTGCAGTAATTTACACGCACATTCAGTTTCTGGGAATCGATGTAATCCAGATCAGATCTGGTACCCCCACTTGTTTTATGTCTTGCAAAAACAGGGAAGGTGTCAGAGGTACGAGCTCTTCCGAATCATCATAGATGTACGTTAAAGGACGGTTGTTTAATGTGGATTCAACATCACACAGGACGGTCAGTAACTCCTCGAAATTCACCGACGATCTCCCTAGAATTCGCACGAGAAGAGTCTTGGTGGAACGAACTAAGCGCTCCCACCATCCCCCCCACCACGCAGCCGTAGGGGGGTGAATTTCCATTTTATTGGAAAACACTCGTTTTCTGTGATTTTTCTCCAATCCAGGCATCTCAGAGCATTGTCTGCTCCGGTAAAATTGGTTCCGTTATCTGAATACACTGTCGCAGGACGGCCTCGTCTGGCAATGAACCGTCTCAGAGCCTGTAGAAACGTTTCGGTACTCAGAGAGGTGATAGGCTCCAGGTGAATTGCCCGGTATACGGCGCAGGTGAACAAGACGATCCAAGCTTTACTCTTTGGTCTCAGAAGTAAAGGTCCACAAAGATCGACTCCAGTTGTTTCAAAGACTGCCGAATCTCTTATTCTGTCAAGGGGTAACTGGATCGGAGGGGTAGATAAAGCCTTAGCGGTAAATCTCCTACATACTACACATCGACTTACGCAAGATCTTATATTACGTTTCGACGAAATGATCCAGTATCGCTCTCTTAACTTAGCAGCTAATATCTGCACTCCCGCATGACAGTTCTTTTCATGATACTCTCTTATGAGGCATTCAGTTAAATAATGCTTGGACGGAAGCAACAGGGGATAAAGGAAGCAGAATTCATCATCACGTTCAATGATTTTAGTCTTAACTCTGACGACTCCGTCGTTGTCTCTCACTACCAAACATCCATGGACGGAATCTCCTTTCTCTTGAAAGTGCTTCCTTTGCTCTAAACTCCACAAAAATGTTTCGGCGTTAGTTTTTTCTTCTACTGTTAAGGTATCCGAAGAATACGAGG